CTTCATTCGGTCAAGTATTCTTCAAAGAGGAGATCATACACGAGGTGAAAGCAAGGAGGAGTTCTTCAATCAGTTCTACTAGTTTTCTCCATCATCAAGAAAACAATCATCAATCATTGGATAACACAAGACCAAGAAACATTCCAAATGGAATAAAAGTCATTCACCTTCTAGATTGATCAAATGAGATGACAAAGTCAAAGTCTAACTCTTAGGCGCAGACTCAAATTTCCAAACACAAATGAAGTATGTTGAAAAAGCTTCTGAAGTCCACTAGCCACAACGAAAAAGATCATATATCATCTCCATTCATAAGAAAAGCACATAGAGTTATCAAAAATATGAAAAAAAAGAAGAGAAATTCAAGAGCGCGAATTCACAAGTCAAAGTTGTTTGTGTCAGGACAAGTACACCTACTTTTTAGAGAAAGGCAGCGCCTCTACAGCTACAATAACGAAAAAAGGACAAACATACCTAGGTAATGATTGAAGTCGGAAATAAAAGGGAACAAATTATGTAAAGGACTTCACGTAACACAGATTTAGCAAACAAAGCATTTAATGCAAAATCAAACGCATTAAATGAAAAAGATCTATGTAGCCATGAACAAGCGATCATCTGCACCAACGGAAAGCTCCGCCTCAACAAACACATTAAAATTCAAACAATTGGCAGATTTATCAAAAGGCTATAAATATCAAGACCTAAGAAGATAAGAAATAGAGAAGAGAAGCAACAAGTAATAAGCAAAAGCAAACGTCAAAACAATCTTACATCTCTTATTGTTCAGATTTGAATATCAGTGTAAAACTAAGATAGTTTATCTTAGTGAGTGTAGAAACTATTCCATCCTCTCTATGAGAGTTACATACACACTCTAAACACATATTTGTTAAAATAAGGTTGAATACCTTAGTGAGTGTAGAAACCATTCTATCCTTTTTGTGAGAGTTACATACACACTAAAAACATCCATCGTCTGTAAAGCCTAAAAAGGCTAGTAAAAGAATACTTGGAGAATCAGAAGTGGTTTAAGAATACTGGCGTCAGCAAGTGAAGTTGACAAACTAGGAGTGGTTCAGAATACTCGGGAAACCAGAAGTGGTTTAAGAATACTAGTGTCAGCGAGTGAAGTTGATGAACTAGAAGTGGTTAAGAATACTTGTAATCAGTTATGATTAGTAGAACCCTTCAGTTGAAGGAGACTGGACGTAGCTCAGAATGAGTGAACTAGTATAAAAACTCTGTGCATTAATATTTGTTTTAGAAATGTAGTTTTACTTATATTGATTTATTACACTGAAAATTTTGCCTACTACTACCTATTTTCTAAACAATAGTTAGACAAAATTATATTTGTTTAACTTAAGAAATTATTTTTGAGCAGACGTTAGATCTTCAGACGCAAAGTTTTGTTTAAACCAATCTCGCACATTTTTTAAGTATTTGAAATATTATTTTCTGACAAAAAGACACACCTTTGCGAAAATGTTTTTAAAATCCTTCATTTACACACATTTAACCCCCTTCTGTGTGTTTTCCATTAAACTTCACTAAACTCTTTACACCCCCTTCCATGATATATCTAAAAAATAATATGATCAAGGATTGTCTAGGAAGTTTCCTTATTATATTCACTTTGTTTTCTTGTAGGCTCCTAGGTTACTACATAGGGTACTTTAGGCAAGATACCTTAGTATCTAGGAGTACTTCTTTAGTTTCTTATAGTTTCAGTAATTTCACATTTTTAGGATTTAGTTTTACACCTAGACTACACTATAGTGAGGATCCTATTCTTATTCTTAAAGAACCCATCCTCCCTAGTCTAAGGACCCTTGTTAGGACTATAGAAGGATTTCCTCATAGGGTGCACTTTCCACATGTATTATATGAATATATCATTCCTAATGCTTTGTTTCTTATTTTTGTAGGCGATGTTATCCTTGTGGAAGGACCACTGGATTTGAGGACAAATCCTTTCGAAGAGGGAGGGTATGATGGAAATCTAATCCCCAAGGATCCCTTTGGAAGAGGTAAAACCAAGAAGGGTGAAGGTTGATCCAAGGAGACTCACACTTGAAGACCATCGGGCCTTTAATTAGGTCTATGGTTAGGAGGCCATAGGAAGTTCTTCTTAGACCTTTGTTTTTCATGAGCATTGAGTATGATTCCTCTTATTAGTCTCTTAGTCTCCATTGTATATACATTGTATGATACTTGTATATAGTAGTTACTTGTATAGGTGTATTTTGTCTTTGTATTTGTGAGGCACTTTCTTTCTTTTATTATAGGTTATCCTTTCAATAGTAGAAGTGGGATGACAAATAGCAAGGTGTGTAGGTGCAACTAGTAATTGGGACAGAATTGGGCCTAGGCCAAATTTTACATATTAGGCTTATTTTGCTCCCTATTTTCCAAGGAATTGATTTAGCTAGGTCTCACCATCATTTGGTGAACCTAACTAAACCAACTCCAAGTTTTTAGATTGGATTAAATATGGAAAAACAAGTGTTGGCCGCTTAGCCTAATCCTTTGGCCAAATTACTTGGCTTGTCTTGCACACTTGGGAAGCTTGTGCTACAAGCTTTTAACATAGCTTGCTTCCCAAGTTTCTAAGTTAGAAGCTTGCTCCACAAGCCTCCTAAACCAACTAGGCCAGTCAAGCTAAGCGAACCATGATTCTTTTGAACCATAGTTAGCCTAGCTTGCACTATAAGTTTCCCCACTCTATATAAACCTTTTTCTTACCTTTGTAATCATTTTTGATCATATATTTGAGTGAATTTCGAAATTGTTCAAAAATTCTATCTTCTAAAAGTCTCCAACCTTTTTGATATTCATGCAATTCTCTTATCCTCTCAAATAAGAGTGTGGTGAGGATTGAAGTGACTTATCTCTTATAAGGAGTGGCGCCTCTTGAAGAGTGAAATCCAAAGCTTCTCCTCCATTAGAAGCTTTGGAAAAGCTTGAGAAGAATCAAGGAGCCAAAGGTCTAGGGAGGAACTGAAGAGGAATCAACATCAATCCGGTTCCATTACAAGTTTCCATCAGTGTTTATATATATATATATATATATATAATTTTACACAACATATTTTTCCCTTTTCATGTATTTTCTTTTATATTTCGTTTTTTAACACTTTTTAATTTATTTTTCTTTTGGATCAAATTTGTAACTTTTTTCTTTTGATATAGTTGCTAGAAATAGTCACAAATGTTTTGAGAAAAGAAACTCAAAATTGCAAATTTAGAAGTAGAAAATCAAGAAAGAACAAAAAATTTAGTGAGAAATTTTAAGGTAACCCTTGTTTTCACGTGCAGTTTTTTAACAATTTTTGAAATTTAAAATAGCAAGTTCATATCACTTATATTTCAGCACTAAGTGTTTTAAGAATTTCATCAAATTTGAATTCAATTTGAGTTACAAAAAACAAGAGGAATCAAGAAATAGTGAAAACTATAAGACATAAGGAAATCTTATTGTAAAATAACATGTATGAATTCAAGGATTATAAACAAAAAAAAGCTTAATACTCTTTGATCAAGACATATATCATATGTTTTTCAAGATTCAAAATTAAAATAATTAACAAGAAGTGATGACAAGAAAGAACTACACATGACTCTAAGATAACATGTTTTTGCATTGATTTCAAAATTAAAGTTAATTCTTGTACTATCTGTACTGCTAAACCGAGCTCTGAGCTAGGTATCTCAGCGCAACATGACCTCGAGCACGCGCTACGCGATGTCAGCTCAGCAATTAAGTGAATCGCAACAGATTCCCGAGGATCTCGCCCCATACGAGATCCATTATTTAATCGCATTATATCTTATCTCAGGCCCAAGGCCGAAAGCAACCCTAAATCACACTAAGGTACGTGCATTACTTATATGAGACTAATACTCATACAAATTCTAACTTTGGCATCGAAGTCTCTTTTTTGCAGGTACCTCCCCCATCTTGGAGCATCAATGTACCAAGCGAAGGAGGCTCACCGATCTTACCAGGCGGATCAGCTTTACAGCAGATTTCCGGTAAGAACAATTCTATATATATTTCTAATTTTTTAATTAATTTATTTAAAATGTACAATAAAATTTAAACTTTTTATTTGTTATAGAAGATTTAAAAAAAAAAATCTACAAATCTACATTACAATTTAAAAACCAAAAAAACATTAAACTATTTATTTTATAAAATGTTTTGTAATTTCACTTATGTTTTTGTTAGCATAAATTTCATTTATAGTTTGCATACATCCAACACACATTTTCACGTCTCAGAATGAAATTAAAGCAAAAAAGAAATTTATTGTTTCTCACTTAACACATGTATCGTTTATAATGTGGAACTAAATATGCTGTTATTTGAACATGGATTCCAATACTGTCCCAAGTAGCCAATTGTGTTATTATTATCGTTGTTTGCAAATATTTTGGCTTTATTTTATATATATTTTTTCTTCACATCTAAATTTGGGTCAAAATGATTTGGACAAACATCAAGCAGATGCTAAGAAAATCCTTCATTCTTTTTTTATTCCGACAATTATATATTCATCCTATTAGTTTACACTTACCAATAAATTTTTATCACTTTTAAATTTTAATGTCTTGGGACAATGGTTAGCAAAATTTGGAGGAAAGAAAGGAGCAAAGGCAACCCTCCTAAAAAGTAAAACCCCACCACCACAATGATGGCCTTTCAAGCCTTTCAGAAAGAGTCAACCACAGATTCCGCTGATAGCGCTTCTTTCCAATCCTAACCTTATTGGACTTCCAAGTCTAAAGTGTAATACCGGCTTTGAGTGACAAGACTCTAGAAAGTGGGCTGACCCATAATCTCCCAACAAGAGAACCAAAAGTCAAACAAAAGGCTGAAACACCCTTTTTTCCTGCTGCCACTCATAAATGTAGCTTGAGCATTAATCAGAAATGGCCCCCGAGTCACTCGGGAATCAGTCTCAGCTCAGCTCCAAAAAGTACACGACAAAAAATCAAATAATCAGATCTGTTAGTATAATATAAAAAAAATAAAAATCTCATGTTCATAGTTAGTTAATAGAAAAGCACTAACATGGGCTGCACTGCTAGTACACGTATTAAAAATGAATACGGAAGAACTTGAACTTGATATTATGGAATATGTTACATATCGGTATCCGAGTACCGAGTTGATAAATTTTATAATTATATATACCTAAATAATTTATGCATATACCACTTAAGGCACGATAATTAGGTTATAGTACTGTGGAAGGGAGTTGTCAACTAATCTACTATCTACCCTTGTGTAGTTGTTCCCCCAGAGATCAGTGTCGTTTCACATGTAACACAAGCAAGATTCAAAATCAATAGGTCTTTTCGTCCCAACTACTGAATGTTTCAACTCGGAGTCTATGTAATTGTTGCCATAATCACTTGTTCCCTTTGGATCAGTGAGAACCTGAGTTTCTTCATCTGAGAAAGAAATTAGTAGTGTCAGAGGGACAAATTACAGTAATAAATCCTAGTTACGCAAAATGAATTTGAAAAAATAATAATAATATCGCTCCAAGGAGATAAAGCGACAATGACAAGACACTGTCTTGAAATTAAAAAACAAATCAATAATAGAGATAAAAAATCAATAATACTTGCAGATCTTTCCTTACAAACCCTCACATTCTAAGATGAATTCATTTTGGCCATTCAAAAATAGTTTCAATGGGACCATCAAAATGTTATCCAATGACAAATAAGTTTATAGGAGTTTGTGAGCATGAAGCATGTGTCATATATTAGAGATAATCATCTGAATAAAAAAAAAAAAGTTCTGAATCAAAAAAGATACTAGAGATCATCATGCCTGAAATCGTGGAAAGTGAGAGTTCAGTAAGGCGTTTGACACGGTCCTTTAGTTCCTGAAGTTCAGCTTCCTTCTCATGCAGATTTGATTGAGCTTGCTGCAGTTCAGATTCTAGCTCCATGATCTGATTTTCTTGCTGTTTTATTAGCAAGTGGCTTAGTTTCTGATGCAGTTCAGATGCTGACACTCCATGAGAATTAGAATAACTTAAATTCCAGTCATCTGTTAAATGACAGCCTTCATCTGGAGCTTCAATCTGCACGCCATTTTATTGATCAAACACCGAAATCATGAATACAAAATGTTGCTCAACCGAGTAAAAATGGATACGGAAAAGGTTGGACGACAAGGGCCAGTAGTTCCCTCCCCAAAGCTACAGCGAGGTGTGGCCGAGAATTAACAAGATTTAGACTGTGTAAAAGCATGTTTCTCCTATTAAATATAAATTTGATCAAGTCATCAGAGAAGACTCATCCAAATTCTGCTGCATCGACACACACAGACCTTGGATGGCAACACAGAAATTGATTAAATTATTTTAGAAAAAGAACGTTGACATGTAATTTCTGTTTAGACTGTTTTCTCTGGTAAACCATGGTGCAGAGAAGTTGATTGCTCAAGCTGGAAACGAGAAATGAGAGCAAATATACATTGTGAATGGTTCATAAACATTATATTCAAAAAGAAAAGTGCAGAGGAGAAAAAAAGCTTCCAAAGCCTGAGGTAATCAAAAGAAAGAGACAAAAGAGGATGAAAAACATTGCACCATAGAATTGACAACACATAGCACTATCTGCATTCTGCATACTACATAGATGCCATATTTAACATATTATGAGTGTGAGACAACTAAAGAAAGAATGGTCTCGAGAAGTTCACCTCATCTAAGTTTGGCTTTGTTTTTTCATGGCAAGGGCCATCAGTAGTACACCCAGAAAGCTTTTGGAGTTCAAGCTCAAGCTCTGCTTCCAGTTGATCCATTTCCAGAACCTGTGGTTCTGGTTCTTCAGTAAGAGCACTACTTCCACATTCACCGCAATCATTTACACCAGGACTCCAAATAATGACATCAGTGTTTCTGATCTCACTGACTGTATTCTTGAGCGTTACTTCATTCTTGCCACTGATTTTGCGAGAGCCCTTCACATCATTGCCAACAGAATCTAAATTTTGAAGACCGCGTGACGATTTTCTTCTGTTGATCTCAGCTTTCAGTTCCTGAACAAGTTTAGCTGTCTCGTCCACGGTCTTGTTCAGCTTATTGATCTCAGCTTTTCCAGCTGACATCATACACATGATGCCAATGCAAAGTCCCCAACCAAACAAGGAGTTATCTGAAGAATACAATATGAAGCAAAAGTCATTTTTAAAACCAATCAGTTATTTACTACGGTGCAAAAAGGCACTCGAGCAGATTGAACAGATTCAATAACACAGCCAAAAGAACGGAGGCACCATGCCATAAACAGGCAACAAGGGGCAACCAAATAATCAAATATGAAGAGATTGTGCACTGAAAATCCCTAATTATACGAGTCAAGCTTATAAAAAACAGTTGGCAACCACAATTCCCATTGCAATGTCAAGCGTTTTGGAGTCACCATGACTGTATTACAACCTCAATTGAGGTAGTATCAGTCACATTTATCTACAATTTTCCACAATATCAAAGATCACAACCTATGATACACAGATACAATACGTGTATTGCATAAAATGCATATCATATATGGCAATACAATTATTTTAAAATATATAAAAAACATTGTGTAAGATACATGTATGCATATGTATCAATATTCATAAAATATAATAAATTTGTAATTGTAGTTTTGATAAAAAAAAAAATCAAAATAATAAATATATAATTGGAATTTCGCAAATCCAAATTAAGCCAACCTATTGACAGGTGCAGCCAAATAACTTCCAACAGCTGCAGTTAAAACTTTTAAAACTACATATCGTTCATAGTCATCTGTTCAGCCAACCTAGAGAGCTCTGCCATCTGCGAAATGATCGCATGGAGATGCAATGGAAACTTTGAGGCCAACATACAACATCATAAGCAAGTACTATATTCATGAATTTTCATCCCTTGTATAAGGGACGGAGCCAGGATTTCAATACTGGGGGGCCGAGAATAAATAATATATAATTTATAATAAATGAAAATTAAAGTATCAAAAGCATATAAAAAAAAATATAAAAAAAAATTAAAATTGTTGGGGGGGCCGTGGCACCCGTAGGTCCCCCTTGGCTCCGTCCTTGCTCACTCCCCCCCTTACCTGGATAAGCGGAGTTGAAACTTGGGCAGGGCCTCCTCCTCTGGATTCTCTCTTTCTTTTCCTCTCTTTCTTTCTTTCTTTCTTTCTCTCTCTCTCTCTCTCTTCTCTTTCTCTCTCTAAGATTTCACTTTCTCTTTCAGTATATAAAATTTTCACCCCCTGGCCCCTATTTATAGGCATCCTGGGGTCCCCGGAATGGCCCGTATTGGATTCGGAACGGCCCGTTCCGGATTTTTCGAACATAGGCAAATTTAGCAACTGGAACGGCCCGTTCCAAATTCGGAACGACCTGTTTCAAAAAGCAAAACGACCCGTTCTGAAGTTCACGTCTCCTTGGGAATCTCTGCCATGAAGAGAAAAAGAAGAAAAATAGTAAACAATCAACCACAAAACTCCGAGGTAGCAACCAATCAACCACGAAACTCCAAGGTAGCAACCAAACCACCACAGAACCCCGAGACAGCAACCAAACAGCCACGAAACTCCGAGACAACAACCAAACAACCACGAAACTCCGAGGCCGCAACCAAACGAACACCTAGAGTGTGTCCCACAACCTGAAAAGGGTCAAAACAAGAAGAGGGAGGGTCGGCAACTCCAACGGAGTGAACCGCGTCGCAAACAGAGGCTGGGAGGGCGGCGCGTGAAGCCCACTCGCCGACGAGCTTCCTCAACAAGAACTGCGCGTGAGAGCGCGTGAGACGGCTCGCGACGGTGGCTCGCGACAGAGAGGCTGATTGGAGACCTCTAAGTGTGCAGACAGTGTCAACTCCGGCAACCGCGGACAAAACTCGAAAACCCTAGAAACCCTAGATGTTGGCGGCTGGATTAGGGTTCCTGGACCAGAATGCTCTGGTACCAACTTGAATATGAATAATTTCTTATTATTGAATCTGAATGGGTACAATAAAATAAATAGGCATAAAACATAATCAATCCCTAAAGTTTAGGGATTTAGATAAAACTGACTAAGGAAACTAAACTAGAAATTAAGAGAAGATAAACTAGTATATCTAAACTATATCTTATAGAATTATCTTAACAGAGGTAATACACCTTTTTCAAATATCACCCTCCTCATCACTCCTCCAAATTTTTCGTAAATTCTCTTCTTTATACATGGTTCGTTTTAACTCATTGTATTCCTAATAATTCAACTTTCAGCCTTTGGAGAAGCTGTGAACCGAGTAATTTACTTACACAAAAGTTTGAATAAGTTTAACACACACTAACAACCATATATATATATATATATATAATAGAATCAAGCCTGGATGTAATGGCATCATCAGCATTGGATTATAAAATGAATATTCCAGCAAATAAAAACCATTAACTTATTTATGCATTGATTTATTCTTTTTCAGCAACACTTGAATGGGATATACGATCCTCCTCGAACAACAACTTTAATTTAGACGGTGACAGTGAATGGAGCTGTGAATACCCCACTGATTTCAGTTCATGTGGTTTCAATGAAAGAGAGAATTGAATCATGTATACAAACTTATTCAAACTTTTAATTCCATGCCCTCTACAATCCCAACAAAAGAGCACCCACGAAAATAACACCCTAGGATCCTCACCAACAGTAGTATGATATATAAATGGGATATATATATATGTATAACTAGCTGTAATCCAATGATTAAAATTTATTTATTAATGAATGAGACATTACTCTACTTTAATTTTAGAACAAAACACCAACAAAATTCAACATGTTTGATAAATAGCAAATTCTTTAATCAGATTCTTTTTTTTTTTTTTTCAGTTTAACCAATGATCTTTAATTCAAATTTTAACCAATGATTTTTATTTCAAATTTTAAGCATACAGATATATTAACTAAATATTTGAATAAACTTTTCGGTTAGAAGATATCCTAGAGAATCAAAATAAATAAATAAATAACGCAGTCAAAACTTATGTTTGCTTTCCATTGATATGGCTTTGATTCTGAAGCCCCCAACCTCATTCGCCACGGGAGAAGTCTTATCATCCTTGTCATAAATAAACGCGAGAAGAACATGCTTGAATTCCTCATATGCTTCCTTAAATACAAAGCCAACCGTCAGAACCAAACAACACCAAAAAAGGAAGAAAAAAAAAGAAAAATAGAGTGAATTCAATTTGACGAATTCAATACCGGATAAGCGTCGAGCGCGCAAGGAGCGAGAGCCGTCCTGAGACACTCGATAGCAGAGTCTCGATCCTCCGCAGTCCCCTTCCGAAGAAGCTCAATAAATTTCTGCAAAAAGGAAAAAAAATGAAGTTAGGTATAGGGTTGGTCAGAATTTGCGATGCGAGTAGAGAAGAAAAGGAATGAGAACCTGTTTGTGCAAGCGGAAGAGAATTTTGTGGTCGGAGAGGATGGAGGAGACGTGGAGGCGGAGGAGGTGGAGGGCGGCGTCAATGGCGGCGGTCTCGAGGGAGTGTCTGATCTGGCGGATGAGGAGGCGGGAGTGGTAGGAGGAGGAGGAGGTTGAAGGGGCTGAGGAGTCTTCGATTAGGTTTTCGGATTTAGAGAAATCGATTAGGACGGCGTCGAGGGCTTCCCAATTAACTCCATCTGAGTCTGAGATATGAGAAATCAAAAACCTTAACAGATGTTATGCTGAACGAGAAAAGGAGAGAAATGTTGTGGACGTGGGACGATGGAGGTGATGAAGAAAAGTTGAGAGAAGTGTTACGGTGACTTACTTGAGAAAATGTGTGTTTACGCTTAGAGCATCTACAGTGGCTCCCAACCACTTTAAATGGGTCTCATTGTGCTACGTCACTCATAAGCAACTCATACTATATTTTTACAATTTTTGCTCCAATGACAATTGCTTATAAGCACTCCTACTTTTTTACAACTCATACTACACTTTTTGACAACTCACATTATACTTTATGATAAATTTTTAAAAAATTAATTATTATAGATAATATATAAATATGAATAAAAAACAAAAGAAATTACATAATAAAAAAATTACAACAATAAAAAAAATTAAATAATAAAAAGAATTACAAAATAAATTGATAAAAATTTATAAAAAAAAATAATATCTAAAATATTACAAATTTCTAAAATAATTTTTTAAATTTTTACTTATTCGATTTATTTGAAATTTAAATTATTTTTTCAACACTTTTCAATTTATTAAAAAACATGAAATGTTTTTATTTTTTAAAAATATGAATCAATAATCGTGTGCTTTTAATATAAAAATAAGCATGTAAAAAATATTATCAGCATGTTATGGTTTTTTTTTATCATATACAAGCCGCATAAAATTTTTACCATGTTAAATTTCAATAAAATTAATGTACATTTAAATTAATTTTTTTAATTATTACATATGAAGTAAAATTTTATTTAATTTTAAAAAATAATATTCTAAATATGTAATAATTTTTTAATTTAAAATAATAAATTTATTATTATTATTATTCTTATTTACGTTTTCTTCTTCTCACCAACGGCTCTTTCATCATTTTATTTTTTTTTGTTTTCTTCTTCTTCTCTCTTCTCTCTTCTTCTCTCCTCTTCTCTCTTCTTCTTCTTCTCTCCACTGCCACGTCTTGGGGGGTTTGGTCGCGCGGAGCCGCACGCGCCGGGGGGTCTGGTCAGACGGATCTGCGCGCCAGAGGGGGTTCCGGTCGGAGCCGCGCGCGCAGGGGGAGAGGGTCTGGTCGGAGCTGCGCGCAGGGGGAGGGGGTCCGGTCGGAGCCGCGCGCGCAGGGAGAGGGGGTCTGGTCGGAGCTGCGCGCAGGGGGAGGGGGTCCGGTCAAGAGCTGCACGCGGGGAAGGGGTTCGCGGGGGGAGGGGGTTCTGGCGCGGGGGCTGTCGGGACTGGCTGTTTGGAGGTTCCACGTAGATCCGATTCAACCAATCAAATGCCTCTCCTCAGTGCTAAGCACCGTTGCTTGGAGAAGCAACAAAGAAATTTTTTTAAGCAACTGGGTTGCCACGTGAGATCACTCCAACGGGGATTTCTTCTAAGCATCGTTGCTTGTCAGTAAGCAACGCTCTAAGAACTTGCCGCTGGAGGTGCTCTGCTGGAGGATTCAAAAAATATTTTCAGTTTTTAAATTAATAAAAATAATCATAAATAAGAAAATTGGCAGGAAATACTACTCACCAAAAAAACAAATTACTTGTGAATTTATATTTAAAACAAAATTTGTAGGAAAATAAAAAAATTCTTGCAAATTTTTTTAAAAATTTTTATTTACAACAAAAAATTCATATAATTAATATTTTTGTAGTAAAATTTGCAAGAATTTTCTGCGAATTTAAAATTACAAAAATATTTGTAATAATTTATTGGAGATTTATATTTGTAAGAATTTTTGCAATAATTTCCTACAAATATTTTTTTGCATGAAAATCATTAAGTAAATGGCATATTTCTAGTAGTGCACGTTAAAAAGTGAAATAGAACTCTTGAGAGGTTAAATATAAGGGTTGTTATATTAATAAATTTATTAAAATTAAACAAAAAAAATTCAACAAATTATTTATTAGTGATGTAAACAAGTCCCTCACAAATTGTGACGAACTTAGAGGTCGTCACAAATTGCGACAAAATTTTATTAATTTATGAACATTTATTATTAGAAATTAATGACAAAAAAATATATTATTTGTGATGCCTTAATTCCGTCATTGATTGTGATGGATTGAAATTATTCCTTACTAAATATTTTGTGACTCCAATTTTTGTGACGAAATTAGTTCTATCACAAAATCCATCACTAATTTATTTTGTGACGAATTTTATAAAATTTCATGACAGATTCGTTTCGTCTCTAATTTTAATTTTTCTAGTAGTGTGGTAAACAATTAATACAACATGATGATGAGACATAACTTACTCATTCGTACATTGATAATGTAACTTTTGTTGAAAAAAGTGTAGTCTACAATTTATTTTCAATATGGAGATAATATCTTTTTATAAAATATTTGAAATAATTTATTTTTAATATTTTTTCTTTTTATAATCCTTAATTATTATTTAAAATGTTAATAACAATTACATTAACAATTAGACGGAATTATAATAAGTCTTTCTTTTATATCGATTAAAAACTTTAAAAAAATTGTAATGAGCCAAAACTTATAAATATTATATAAGAGATTGTTATACTTGAATTTGAGACATTTGTTATACTCCCACCCTCCACTATGTTTCTTAAATACCCGATTAATTATATATGTAGTTGGATAGAGAGTAACTTGCATGAAAATAGTATGACTGTGCATGATATTCCATGGAATATTATTTTTTTTGTGGCTCTTAATATCCTTTGGCTCAGTGCCCTCAATCGCTGGTGATATTTGGAAGGTGCAAATTGATGATGTATGGAGGACAAAAATTTACACAAAAGAAATCAGTTGGCATCCTCCAGAGGTTGATATTATTAAATTCAACACTGATGCTTCAGTTAAAGATATATGGGCGTTAATGCTGCTTGTGTGTTGGTTAATTGGTTTTGTTCGGAATTTGGAGTCAGCTTAATGTGTATGAGAAATCTTTTCTGCTTTACAACTGCTGGAATCCAGAAGGTTGTAATTGAGAATGATTTCCTCTTGACTGTTAGATTTATTAACCATGGGGTGACTAATAATCATCCGCTCCACTCAATGGTGGGTATAATTCAGGATTGGTATGTCTCAGTTCTACATGCTTTTCGTGAAGCTAATGGGCTTGCTGACTTTTTGGCATATAAGAGCTCCTTTCTAGGATATTGGATTACATACTTTGAATTTGTCTTATGCTGACAACAATTTATTTCTTTTGAAAGATGTTAGTGGGTTGACCTCAACCCGTAGTATCCCTTTGTAATTTCGGCTTAGTCCTCCTTAATAAAACAAAATAAAACTTTGTCCCTGTATGTCTATGCATATAAAAGCAAGTCAAATTATTATTAGGTATCAAATGAACAATTGAAAATGCCCATCACATTTTGAGATGAATGTGAAGAGAGATAAAAATAAGAAATAAAATATAGAAACAGAAACTAATATATAATATAATAAGAAATATATAGAAAGAAAATTTGGGAAGAAATAATGGAATGCATAGTAATAAGAAGCCTTGATGTCAAAACAAGTTAAAGGAAAAAAGTATCATAAGGTGGTAGAATCTAATAATGATGTTGTTGGATGTAGGATGCAATCAGGATGAGGTGAATACAAGTTTTAATGTCTTTATTTTTGTTTTCATTTTTGTAATATATACTTATTTTCATTATTATCATATTTGATAAATATGAAATTTGTATCTTATTTTCATTTTTGTTGAGTATTGAATTTATCTGTACCCGTTTTCTATCCATCATAAAATTAATTAAATATTTTTTTAATATATATATATATATATATATATAAAATTTCAACATAAAGAAGTAATTATAAAATTACATTAAATAAGTTTCATTTGAAATAAATTTAAAATAGAATAATAATTACATAAATGTCAAGTAAATTTATATAAAAAAAATTAAGTTTCTAAAAACTTAAAATAGATACGAGACAAGTATGTATATACTTATCTCATCTCTGTACCTAATTCAATAAATCGAATATCATTCGTACTTGTATTCATATGCTCAATTAAATTAAGTATTCTTGGTTAGAGTCATAATAAGTTAAGATATTATTTATATATACGAAAACTTGTCATATCCTAATTGAATGGAATCGACACATAAAGTAGTAAAGTAATATAAGAATGAGAATGATAAATGATGATTGACTTATGAGATAATTACCATTTTTACCAAGAACATGATCTGAAGTCATTAATGTTTATGTGATCAATTGTAGTATTGTACAATGATAATAGTGACAAATATGGTGTGTTCTATTTTGTTTTAATAGTTATATTTAAAATAACTGTGGATTTGGCAGATTAACCTACTAAAATGGAAAAAGAAAAAATAAATTAACATTATCTCAAATAGACAAATTTAGTCAAATTAACCTCTATAAGCAATCATGTTATATAAAAAAGGAAATCTCGTAGAATTGTAAGAGGAAATTATGTACTAAAAATAATTCCAAGAGTAAAGATGTTATTGTGTAATTGTATTTTAATTTGAAGATACTTTTTTCTTATCGTTTTCTAAAATAAAATATTAAAAATAACTATTTCATTAATTTAAAAACTCTTTTGAACATTGATTAACAAGCATCATGATTTTTATTACATTTACCATCAACATTTTTTTTTTTTTTGATATACACATACATGAGCATCAATCAAGGCATTTCCATCTTGGCGGTATCAAAACCACGATTTTAGAGCTTTGAGATAAGGTTGGATGAAACGATATCTGAAAATGGATAAAGTGATATTGGGCTACATATATCTGTTATGATTTGGGTCAATGTCGAACGATTTTTGATTGAATTTTTCGTATCAAGACACAAGACCAATTTTAATTGTCCAAAATCATATTAGAATTATACGCGAATGAATTGAACCTTCTCAGCATGAGCCATTGGTAAAAAAACAAATGTTATTTAAATGATTAAAAAGAATTATATTCTCTTCATCTTTTGAGCATATGCAAACGGGCCATTTTCAAAATATATATATCAGTATCACTATCACCTTTCATAATATAGATAGAAAATTAAAATTAGTAAAAAACCATGCATATATAATTTTGAAAAAAAATAAATTGCCACTAAAATATAGTGACTCCAAAATTAACGACGATAAAACAATTTTTTTCATTAAAATTTACTAATTTAGTCATCAAGCTCTCTGGGTGTCGCAGAGAAGAAAAGGTTGCACAACGTAGAAACATGTGAGGAAGCAAGACGTGCGCAATTTTGCGAACAGTGATGATCCAAAAGTCCAGTTTATGTGTTGATTTTCTGTTCTTCCTCCATTTTATTTGTTCTTGTTTCTTTTTTTTATTTGCTGACTTTTGACATCAAAGGCTTATTAATTGGCTATTGAGTATATAATAGGTGAAAACAGATTTTGGCATAAAAGCATTGACTAATCAAAGTTATCAAACTTTTGTGATTTCGGGTTGATTATATCTTCAAATCCAACAATATTCTTTTACTTCTTGTATGGTTGAAATAATAATTTTTTTTAAAACTGGTTATTCTCATTTAATAAGGATCACCTGAGAATTAATAATCATGTATAACCATTTTGGATGTATAAGCGTTATTTATTAATTAATAATTAAGTTTTTATAATTTACTTTTAGGAAAGAAGAAAAGCATATTAATAAAAAAGCAAACTGTTGTCTCAAAAACACATGGAGTTTGATGCTTAATACTTGAACCAATGAGTTCCAAATATTTGAAATATGAGGCACTACAGTACCAAGAAGCTATTAAAATATTTAGTGATGGTTAATTAGCTGCAAACTTTAGTGATGACCATTAATTAGTAAAGCATTGGAAGATACAACATGCAGGTCGAACAGAAATCACGCACACGATGACGAAAAACAAACACACAAGAGATGCTGCCGCCAAGGCAACTTATTTAATAGTAGTACATGATCCACGGCATTCACAATAATGAATACTCATATGCATGCCCTTATTCTTGGAAGCTCAGTGATCCTTCTTCTTCTTCTTCCTCCTCCTCCTCTTCTTCTTCTTCCTCGTTAACGTTTTGCTCGCTGCTGCATGTCTTTTCAACAAAAGACACCTTAGCTTCAGAGGGTTCACTAATTGCTACCTCAAAATCAATCTGCGCCTTATTTCCTAGGAAATTTAGTGTGTCGTGTTGTTTCACCGTCAAGCAAAAATATGTCTTATCGTTATCTTTTTTTTTAACAAAAAAATTCACCCGCTTCAAATTAAGGCTACACTGATCATGATGATCACCCTTGAATTTAAACTTGACTTCACGCAACCGTTCCCCGTCCTCGTAACAGTGCTTATACTTGTTCCCCCCCTTGAATGGTATACCTTTCTCCCCTGTAATTTTCTCTACTCCTTCTATAAATTCGGGGAAAAATGTTTTGTTTAAATGCGTAAAAGTGGAGCCTGAATCAATTCTCATTAAGATAATTCCGTCCTGCTTTACCCGTTGGTTATTTAAAAGTATAGATTCAAGATGGATACAGTAACGTCCATAACAGTCTTCTTCTTCTACTAATGGGGTGTAGTAAGTGGGGTCTATCTTGACGTCTTTCCCCAGCAATAATTTAGTAGTTGCGGAGATACTATTAGAAAGACAGTATGAGAATTTTGAGGGAATACCCAATTGGGAAATCAAGGATATTTCCCCACGTCCAAGTCCAACAACTCCTGCGCTTTCTTTTTTACGACCTTCGCTGATATTGGAAAGTCCAAACCAAACAGGCGCAATCACTTTCGAGTTGGACCATAATTCGCCTTTAGTTAACTTTCCTCCAGTCCTGGAGTTGTCATCATACTTCATATGGTACCTGTTAGCATACAATCAAAATCACACTTTATTAAAACAAGATTATAAATAAAAGATATAAAATATACACGTTAAGATGAAGCCTTTTTAGGTAATGCAACTCTAAGTAGACTTTAATCTCAAAATAAAAAAATATCATATTAATGTAAAAATATTTGTGAATACCGGTATATATACAACTGGATATCTTATGCCCTCTTGGAAAAATTATATCTTCTATTCTTCTCAAACAAATAGAGAAAAAAGAAAAAAAAAAAAAAAAAAACTCAACAGTTACCAGCACGTGTTTTCTGTTTCTAGACAATGAGGTTTTTGTTAAGAAAAACCAGAACAGAGAAGTTGAAACAGAAAAAACTGGAACAGAGAAGTTGAGTTTCTGATTTTTTTTTGTTTCAATGAAAGGAAGAAAAGTGGTTACACAATTTCATTATTCATTTCCACACTCTCCGTAGAGTTGCATTACATCAAATATATGACAAGAGAGATTTCTGATATGCATATCATATGCTACAGTAAATCTCCACAAAATAAAGATAAACACTCCTTTTTACCTAAACATTTGTCCAAGCAACAAACAAATCTCTTGAAATATGGATTTCCACTTAATTATACCTAACCACACCAAATGCAACTAAGATACAAACAGACATAAATATTTAATATTTTCTTAAAGTATCTAGAAAAATCTTAACTTCTAACAC